AGCCGTGAAATGATGAGCTTCCAATATTTAAAATTCAGGAATATGACATAAAAATACAGTTTCTAACTTCTCCTGAAAATTAGAAAATCTGTCACTTGGAGGCCAGTTTTTGTCATGGAAACAGTAGCAGTTGCCCACATTGGGCAGGGCATGTCCCCTCAGCTTCCTGTCATGCCCCTTTGTCTTGCCCAGCCCTTCATGGGTGTGACCCTCCTGCCCCTTTGTGTCACTTGTCCACTCCTTCTCATTCACACTGCTCCAGTCCCCTGGTCTTCCTGTCCCTGAGCACATGTCAGGGCTTCACACACACTTTCCTCTACCTGGCACACCCTCTCTACTTTCTGTTTTTCCTTCTCCCACCAGTTCTGGCCTGGAGCAATGATGCTCAATTTCAAGGCATGGGTTTACATGTTACTTCCATGGCGAAATTCCCTCTGATAGCCTACTCTAGGTTGGCACCCCATCTTGTTTTCCCCTCACATTGGTGATCATTGGTTACTTGCTTGTCTTCACTGTGAGCTACACAAGAGCAGAGACTAAGTCTGTGTTTCTCACTGCTCAACCTCTAGCAGTCAGTCCAGCACCTGGCCTGATGGTGCTAGTTACGGTCAAGTTGATTCCGACGCTTGGCAACCACATGTGTGCAGAGTGGCACTGCTCCATGGTGTTTACAAGATTGTTATTTGTTGTTGTTGTTATTGAAAGCAGATCTCCAGGCTTCTGTTCCGGAGCACCTCAGGGTAGGTTCAAACTGCCAACCTTTCAACTAGAGAGTTGAGCAGTTAATGATTTGTACCACCCCAGGACCTCCTGGCGTGTACAAGGAGATTTCTAAGTATTTGCTAAATGGTTGAGTAAATGGCTCCCCTGGCTGTAGCGTACGTACACATCAGTAGGATGCCATCTACTGGAGGGGAAGGGTACAAAAATGAAAATAATACCAGGGAAGAGGACTGTGTGCCGGGCGCTCTGAGGACACTTCCAGCCGAATCACCACTTGCTGGCGTTGTTTTCCTAGAGGAAGTCACAATCGAGTGGGGCTTGGGGATTTGGGACGTGCAATCATGCTTGCAACTGAGGATGACGCTGGCTGTGAGAGGTGGGGTGACTTGCCTGAGGACACAAAGTTCATGCAGCCTGTGAGCCTCATAAAGGCATGTGCAAAGTTGCAGCTCCAGCGTCCAACTGAGCATTCAACGAATGTGTGGAATGAAAGAAGGAAAAGAAAAGACAGAGGTTCAAAGTAGACCTGGGGACTCAAGTAGCAGAAAGAACATGACATTGATATACAGAAGAGGAGTTGGATGAGTGATGAAGAATTTGGAAGTCATCATGAAAGGAAAAAAGTTTAGCCACTATTGAGGCCAAAAATAAAACCAA